CCCAGGTCCCCCAGGTGTCCCCAAACCCCCCCAGGTGTGTCCCCAGGTGTGTCCCAGGTCCCCCAGGTGTCCCCAAACTCCCCCAGGTGTGTCCCCAGGTGTCCCCAAGCCCCCCCAGGTGTCCCCAAACACCCAGGTGTGTCCCCAGGTGTGTCCCCACCTCTTGGGCAGGTGTGCGAAGGGGTCCTTGGCTTTGGGCTCAGCTGCCAGGACCTGCTCACACTCATCCAGGTCCTCGTCGGGCTCCGGCCGCTTCTCCTCCCTCTTGGGGGGCTTCTCCTTCTTGGGGGGCTCCTTCTCCTTCTTGGGGGGCTCCTTCTCCTTCCGGGCCTGGCTCTCCGCAAATTTCTTGGCTTTATCCCAAAAAAAAACCCGGAAAAATTCAGGTTTTTGTACCCAAAATCCGCCCCAAAATTCCCCTTTGGGATCCTCCCCAAAATTGGTTTTAGGGACTTAAAAATCTGCTCAGGTTTCATTGAAATTCCCTTTTTTTTATCTTGGAAATGTCCCCTAAAATTCCATTTTTTTATCCCGGAAAAAAAGGCTAAAAATTCCCTTTTTTATCCCACAACAACCCCCTAAAATTCCCTTTTTTATTTCGGGAAAAAACCCTGAAAATTCCCTTTTTTATCTTGGAAAAAAATCCCCAAATTCCCTTTTTTATCCTGGAAAAAAACCCCAAAAATTCCCTTTTTTATCTTGGAAAAAAACCCCAAAATTCCCTTTTTTATTTTGGAAAAAAACCTCTAAAATTCCCTTTTCTATCTTGGAAAAAAATCCTAAAATTCCTTTTTTTATTTTATAAAAAAATCCCCTAAAATTCACTTTTTTATCCTGGAAAAAGCCCCTAAAATTCCCTTTTTTATTTTGGAAAAAACCTTAAAATTTCCCTTTTTTATCTTGGAAAAAAACCCTAAAATTCCCTTTTTTATTTTGAAAAACCTCCAAAATTCCCTTTTTTATCCTGGAAAAACTCCCTAAAATTCCCTTTTTTATCTTGGGGAAAAAACCCCAAAATTCCCTTTTTTATCTTAGAAAACACCGGGAAAGCGCCCAGGTGTGTCCCCAGGTGTGTCCAGATGTGTCCCCAGGTGTGTCTCCAGGTGTGTCCCCAGGTGTGTCCCCAGGTGTCCCCAGGTGTCACTCACGGTCGAACTGGGCCATCCTCTGGCACAGGGTCACCTCTCCCAGCACGGCTTTGAACTGGGGCTGGTTCAGGCACGTCAGGAACCAGCGGTTCACGTTCCCAAAGGGGCCCCGGAACGCGGGGTCCAGCACCTGGGGGGACCCCAAAACACACCTGAGTGACCCCAAAACACCCCAAAACACACCTGAGTGACCCCAAAACACACCTGAGTCACCCCAAAACACCCCAAAACACACCTGAGTGACCCCAAAACACACC